ATTTGAAAAAGTAACTCAGATATTCTCTTGTAAATTAAAAAGTAATGCGTTACTTTACTAGTTACTTACTGAAAAAAGTAATCTGATTATGTAACTCGCGTTACTTGTAGTGCGTTACCAACAACACTGGTTACGCATGTTCTGATTGGCTGTGTTTTTATGGCTCCATTTAGTAAAGCGCCAGTCTCCAAACGTGTCTTAAAAACTCAACTCTTGATGTGTGACCTGCGGCCGAAGCAGCTATTTCAGAACGCCTCACTTTAAACCAGCTGCTTGTAAAACACATCAGATCTGTTCAATCACAGCGGAAAGCAATCTAACGTATATTTCAGTCTCCCTTTAAGTGCTGGTTTGTTAGTTAAAGGCCCAGACTGAGTGAGTTTTTATAGCCTGCGGCTGCGCAGATAAACACACTCTCCATCGTTCAGCCTCCAGCTCAGCGTTTCTAATTCTAAATGTGTGACGCTTTGTGCTGCTTGTTTGCAGTAGCTGAACATGGTTTATGTTGTCGAGGACTGCAGGACTAACCACGGCTTAATTAAATGACATAGTCCGCGGAGGACGGAAAATTCTTTTCTCACAGTGTCCGGATTTTCCTTCCCCTGATTTATGAGCCACAGGATTCAATAAACATCAACTGAAGTAGCAACAGATCTTCTCTTCTGTACTGTGATGTACATTATTTTGAAATGGATTATCGAAAAAAATAAAATATAAATAAATATAAATATAGGGCAGGGACTTGATGCAGATCCAAATGCAAGCTTAAGATCAATTGTAAGAAAGTTGCAGGCAAAATTATTGGGGTTCTGTCGCTTTACTGGAATATCTTTGGATGGTGTGTTTGTGTGTGTGTGTGTGTGTGTGTGTGTGTGTGTATGTGTGTGTGTGTGTAAGCAGCCCTGCTCAGCCGGTCTGGTCGATCCATTATTAATGGAAACTGGGCCATCGACCGTCCAGGAATGTATGAGGGAGTGGGAACGATGTTCACGTACCGGCGGCCGAATGAGATCAGCAGCACCGCGGGAGAGTCCTTCCTAGCCGAGGGGCCGACCAATGAGATCCTGGATGTGTTTGTGAGTGACACTGGATATCTGATGCTAGCACTTTCATTGAGACTCAGTATTATGTTATTGCAATATTATACTGAAATATTCATATAATGTTTTATTTTATTAATATAACTGCGATATAATTCAGAGTTATTTAATGATTGTTATTATTATTCATATTATTGTTATTATTGGGGCATTATTAAATGCATATTTATTAACTTAGCTATTGTTATTGTAATATTAATATTATACTGAACTGTTAATACAATGTTTAATTTTAAATAACAAAATTCAGTTATTATCATTATTATTATTGTGGCATTGTTACATGTACATTTAGCTATTATTACCACTTTTTATTGTAGCACATTTTTGGAAACTAATGTTATTGCTCTATAATACTTCATTATTAATTAGTGCTGTCAAACGATTAATCGCGATTAATCGCATACAAAATAAAAGTTATTGTTTACATAATATATGAGTGTGTACTGTGTATTAGGGCCGTCAAAAAAATGCAAATTTCGAATTTAAAATAAAAAACGTTGCATTCTAATTTTAGGTGTGCGTTAAGGAGGCAGTCTTATCAGCGGCGCACGAGATGCGATGACGATGTAGGTGTCGTTGCATTATAATGTTTTTGTTAGCCTATCCAGTTGAAGCCACTAGATGCAGCGCTGCTGCGTTGTTCATTACAAATATAGCGGAAAAAGAGAACATCAATGCGGAGAAGATCTTGTTTACATCAAAACTGAAACCAAGCCGTTCACACAGAACGCATATTTCGCGCATTTTCTAGAGGGACATCTATTACTGTTGCACTCGCATCTCGCACAAAAGAGCCGCATGTTTAGAAAGCCATGTAAAATTAATGCAAATTTAACTTTGAAAAAAATATATATCGAGACTTTATGGCTGTTTTTTACCCATCCCACTGCATCTCATGTTTTTAAATGCCCTTTGTATTAAACTATGCATACATACATGATGCTGTTTTGTTTATAGTTGTTTTTTCACAGATAGTCATGTAATCTTATGCTTTGAATAAACGTGCATTAGTATTATTTTGCTCGATGCGCACTCTTGTGGCCTCAGGAGAGAAGACAAAAGCTTTTCTTCACTCTAACTGAAATTATGCATTTTAAATTCGAATATAATTCGAATTTTGATAATATTTAAGTACAAAATTCTAATGTAGTTTTTCAGCCATTTTTACAGCCCTAGTGTGTGTGTGTGTGTGTGTATATGTATTATGTATATATAAATACACACACATACAGTATATATTTTGAAAATATTTACATGTACATTCATTTATATATTTATATTCTTATATTTTATATTATATATAAATATATTTAATATATAAACATAACATATTTTTCTTAAATATATACATGCATGTGTGTGTATTTATATATACATAATAAATATACGCAGTACACATACATATATTATGTAAAAAAACAACTTTTATTTTGTATGCGATTAATCGTGATTAATCATTTGACAGCACTATTATTAATATAATGTTTTATTTTATTAATATAATTATGCAATATAATTTTGAGTTATTTATTATTATTATTATTATTATTACATGTATATTTATTCAGTTAGCTATTGTGACACATTTTTGGAAAGCAATATTGAATTATTGAATTAATCATATATTGAATATACTGAATTATTCATATAATATAAAATAATAATCTTTAATATTAATTATTATTATACTAATATTATCAATATATTATTGTTGTTGTTGTTGTTATATTTTTAAAATATTATTATTATTAGTGGGGCATTTTTACATGTATATTTATTCATTTAGTAGATGCTTTTATCCAAAGTGACATTTAAATGAGGATTATTATAAGCATTAATAGTTCAATCGCCTTATTGACATATGTGACCCTGGAGCACAAAACCAGTCATAAGGGTCAATTTTTTTTAATTGAGGTTTATGCATCATCTGAAAGCTGAATAAATAATCTTTCCATTGATGTATGGTTTGTTAGGATAGGACAATATTTGAAAATCTGGAATCTGAGGGTGCAAAAAAATCTAAATATTGAGAAAATCATCTTTAAAGTTGTTCAAATGAAGTTCTTAGCAATGCATATTACTAATCAAAAATTAAGTTTTGATATATTTACAGTAGGACATTTACTAAATATCTTCATGGAACATGATCTTTACTTAATATCCTAATGATTTTTGGCATAAAAGAAAAATGTATAATTTTGACCCATACAATGTATTGTTGGCTGTTGCTACAAATATACCCCAGCGACTTAACACTGCTTTTGTGCTGCAGGGTCACATATTAGGTCTTCAAACTGAAAACCCGCTAGAAGCTCAAGACTTTATTCAGGCAGAAAGACTGTAGCTGGCAGTAATAGATGATCGCTGACGTCTCATCTCTGTGTTTGTCTCTTCAGATGATCTACCAGCAGCTCAATCCAGGCGTTCATTATGAGTTCCTCATGCCGTCAGAGAACGCTGTAGATGCTCCGCGTCCTAAACAGAACCAGCTGGACCGTGAGTCAATATGTGTTATGCTCATTTTTCCATAGGTCATTTTTTGGGATGCGATTTATGTTATTTACTTGCGAAATATTTTATTAGAGCTCTGCATTGTCCTGCGCTCTGTTTACTGGATCTTGTGTTGTGAATGCAGTGAATGCTGTGAACGGTCCGGCTGGTTCTGATGCGAACGGCCCGTCGACCCCGGAGGATCACGAGAGGTCAGGGGTCAGCTATCCTCCTCCCGTCCCGGATAATCAGCTTCCCGCAGCTCCGCATTCAACCGGAGCCAGAGAATACAACTGGAAACTCAGCGGCACCACAGACTGCAGCGCCTCCTGTGGACGAGGTGTGCATTTACACAAACACTGTGCAGTGTCTAATTCAGTGAAACTTAAAAAATGAAAATGCTCTCACCCTCAGGTCATCCGAGATCAGGATGAGTTTGTTTCTTCATCAGATTTGGAGAAATGTAGCATTGCATCACTTGCTCTGCAGTGAATGGGTGCCATTAGAATGAGAGTCCAAACAGCTGATAAAAACATCACAATAATCCACAAGTAATCCACAGCACTCCAGTCCATCAGTTAACATCTGGAGAAGACAAAAGCTGAAACTAATCCAGCATTAAGATGCTTTTAACTCAAATACATTGAGTCCATAATCCATAATAACGCTTCCTC